TGACCTTTTGTGTGGAGGTACTTGATGGAGTGGACCGATATTGTCCCTTTTCGCGCCTGACCTATCACTGATGCAAATATTAGGACTTGCAAAGTTGGAGCAAAATCGGATTGCCCTTTCTCTTTCTGTGCAAAAAAAAATATTTTTGACAATTTCGATCTTTTGTGGGGGAGGTACCAGAAGGAGTGGGCCAATATATTCCATCTTAACACTAGACCTTGGGTTGATAAAAATATTGGGATGTGTGAAATGAAAGAGTTGTAATTATTCAAAATTTTGACCTTTTGTGGGGAGGTACTTGATAGAGTGGATCGATATTGTCCATTTTCGCACCTGGCCTAGCATTGATGCAAATATTATTTACCATGATAATATCCCAGATATTTAATTTTTCTGACCTGTTCAATCTCAGTGCCTTTCTGTTTAAGATTTAGCTGACGGATTCGTCTATTTAAGTGGATAACTGACATTTTGCTGCTGAAATTTGCCGCTGAAAGGAAGGTAAATTTCATTACAGCACGATGAGAGTTCCGAATTTTTGACATATAGATGGACTCTAACGGCCTCAACGCCCGATGAAATTCAAACAAAAACAAGTTAAAAAGCAGTAAGTTCGGCCGGGCCGAACTTTTAATACCCTCCACCATTTGCAACGAACTTGGATATTTTCAAAAAATAAAATTCTTAAAAAATTCTGTTAAAATTTTAAAAATACCGAATATAGCCGTTATATTGTGGTCTATACGACGTGGACATACATATGCATTGTTTGTCATAAGCCATTACCATATTCAAATTCGAAACTGGACCCGCACCGACAAATTTCTGTCACAGACTGTAGTTCCCATAACGAACTTCAAATATCAAATTTTAAACAATTCCGGTTAATAATGTCGCTAAAATCATCAAAATACCGAACATAGCGAGGTGCCGTTATATGGGGGCTATACGAAGACGAGGACCTGCACAGACAATTTTCAGTCTTAGGGTGTAGTATCCATTTGGAACTTCAAATACCAAATTTGAAACAATTCCGGTGAATAACGTCGCTAAAATCATCAAAATACCGAATATAGGGAGGTACCGTTATATTGGGGCTATACGAAGACGTGGACCTGCAAAGACAATTTTCTGTCTTAGGGTGTAGTATCCATTTAGAACTTCAAATACTAGATTTGAAACAATTCCCGTGAATAATGTCGCTAAAATCATCAAAATACAGAATATCGGGAGGTACCGTTATATGAGGGCTATACGAAGACATAGACTTGCATAGACAATTTTCTATCTTAGGGTGTAGTATCCATTTGGAACTTCAAATACCAAATTTGGAACAATTATGGTGAATAACGTCGCTAAAATCATCAAAATACCGAATATAGGGGGGTTACCGTTATATGGAAGCTATATGAAGACGTGGACCAACATGGCCCATTTACGAACTTAACCTGCCTACTGGAAAAATAAACATGTGTGCGACTTAGAATTTTACGCTGATCAAGAATACATATACTTTGTTGGGTCTGACATGAGTATTTCGAGGAGTTACAAACGGAATGACAAAGTTAATATACCCTCCATAGTATGGTGGAGGGTATAATAAATCATTCGCGTGGTGGAATAAAATACAATTCTCCGACTGAATACTAAATAAAGGGATTGTGTATGCATTCAAGAGGAGTGGACTTAATGCACTTCCTCGTGCCAGACCACCATTGACGGTTACGACGAGAGTACCCAGGACGAGATTCTCCTTGTAGAGGAAGTCTACAATCCATGACATGATCCCGCCCTTCACCCCCAAAATTGCCATATCAAAATGTCAACATAAACGCAATCGTATGCTTTCTCGACATCTACACAGAATCCTAGTGCGTGATATCCCTATGATTTTAGGTTTTATAGCATGTTAATTGTGTTATTAATAAAGGACGTGTTGGGAACAGATGATTGGATTCGATAAAATTGTGCAATCATTGATTCTAGGCATTTGGGAGGTACTGGGAGGAGCGCTATCGGCCTATAGTCTTTATATTTAAGAGGGGTCCTTATCTTGTTTCGGGATTGGTGAAATGTTAATAGCCCTCCATTCCTGTGGGATTTTACCGATTTTCCAAATATCACATAAAATATTGAAAAAGGCTAGGAGCGCCAGGACTAGCCCTGGAGCCGAAGCATTGGTTCTTGATTTAATAAAATTTTTAAATGTATAGAAGGGTAATTTTGGTAAATCAGTGTTTGATATGACCCTCCGAAGTCCCTTGTTCAAAAACGTCAGTCCCAACGTTTTGAAGGGTTCTGCTTTTTAAATATTTGGCTCTTGTCGCCTTTTTCTAAACAATTTCTGCTCCTCATCATTTCACCACATATTTATTCTTTGGGTCCAACATAATAATGTTCCTGTTGATGATCTCACAAACACTATTGTTGAATTCCTGAATGGAGCTACCTACGTATATTTTATCCATCTCTTTCAAGAAAAAAGTTTAATTGTCATTAAATCACCAATCGTTGGGAGAGAATGATATATCCCTTCCTTTAAAGGCAAAGTTAAAATTAGTTAAGTTGGAGGTTGAATTGTCTTTCAACCATGTCTTTGTAATTAATGCAACATCGATAATAGATGTGTCTTTGTTACCCTACAATTTGTAACAACTGTTACAAATAAGCTTTGTTATAGCATCTGTAATTGGTTCATTCTTCTCCCTTTTCTGGACTTTTTGTATTAAGTATAGGCACTTCACTTTGAAAGTATTGTCTCATTTCATGCTCAGTAACGGTCTTCTCAACCGAATAAATTAATCCCAACCTAGAAATAAAATGGTCAAAAAGTTTGGTTTGGTAGTCCGTTGGTATTATCCACATCACAACCTTCGGCATCTTTCAATATGCCAGTGTCAGTCCCTGCACCCGTTTCCGAATGTTTGCGAGATTTGTTGATATAAATCCAAAATATTCAAAAAACAAGGCACTTTTCCTCCTACCAGAAGGAATTTAAAAGACGGTACCAGAATCATCCGCAAGCACGCAACAGTTTTTTTTTTCTTTGCTTGACTTGTTCACTCTTCGGTGGTTGAAGCGAAAATCTTGAGCAACCTTCCTGTAGGGGAGTCTCTAACTCAACTTTTGAGACACCGACAGAAATCGGTACAATTCAAATGCTTATAATTTACAATTCAAATGTTTCTAATCATGAAATTTGCCGGTAAGTTAGCGACGACATCAAAGTAGTCGCTAAGGTCCACTGATAGATAGCAATGTTGCCAACTTTTACTTCTTTTTATATCAAAATGTTGCGTTTGAAAGTTACCGAGTTATAAGTTGTTAGCTTTATGTCCAAATCTCTCAACACTTCAAGCAATCGCTAGAAAATCGTGGAAAAAGCAACATCCATTTAAAATTGAAACCAAACGACATATATACAAAAAGTATTCTTCATTTTTAAATTTTAGAAGCATAAAATATACGACTACATTACCTAATGTGGTGTAAAAAAGTTCCGCACCGTTGACGTTTTGTTAAATATAGCTGCGAATTTTTCTCTTATTAGGTAAATAATATGTTCTCAGTACCCTGCAGTGAACTTTTATATCTAAAAGGAGTAAGTTCGGCCGGACAATATTCAAATATGAAATTTAAAATAATTCCGGCGAATAATGTAGCTAAAATCATCAAAATTCCGAATATAGGGATATACTGTCTGTCACAGGCTGCAGTGGCAATTTCGAGGTGCAAATACGAAATTTAAAACAATTCCGGTTAATTATGTAGCTAAAATCATCAAAATACCGAATATAAGGAGGTACCGATATATGGAGGCTATACGAAGACCTGTGTCTGCATAGAAAATTTTCCGTCATAGACTGTACTACTCATTAGGAACTTCTAATACGAAATTTGAAGCAATTCCGGTGAATAAAGTCGCTAAAATCATCAAAATATCAAATAAAAGGAGGTACTGTTTTATGGGGGCTATCCCAAAATGTGGACCTATATAGACCATTTTCAGTATCAAAAGTCCTGCCGAACAAACACAAATCTGAGTAAAATTTTATTGGCATTCTTTATTTCGTTCGGAAGTTAAAGTGATTTCCACAATTTTATGCTAATCAAGAACATATATATATACTTTGTGGGGTCTAAAATCTATATTTCGAGGTCTTACACACGGAATGACAAACATAATATACCCTCCATACTACGGTGGAGGGTATAAAAAGTGTATATATTGTATATCAAGAAATGGAATTAATCGCAAAACGTCGTTGGGGCTTACTGCTACCTGTAATATAAATTCGGACTAATTGTCTATGCACTTACATTATTTTTTGTGTAAAAATCTTTTTAATTCTTAAAGCCACATTTCAACTGGGGCCAAATTATTCATTCGATATCGACAACATTTCGATCAAAATGAAATTTAATATGTAATTTTTAGCTTTATTTAGTTGAATATTTCTGTAGAAACTACTAAATCTTGATTGCTTGAGTTAAAAAAAATTTCTACAGAAATTCATTCTGATCGAAAAATTTTCGATATCGAATGCAAGACTTTGGCCCTAAATTTTTGATATGTAACACACTTTGAGTAAATGAGCAATATGGTGTAAACCCGCTTTTCCGATGTGACACATCGTGTTTTAGTATCAAAAGTATTTCAGCTTGAAATACACTAGACATGATAACAGTTGAGTGCATATGAATTGAGTCTTATTCATGGATACTTTTCAGATGGCCTAAAATATATGAATAATATTGTGAAGTCAATATCAATTGTTTAATCAAGTGTTCATAAATACACAAAGTTTCATTTGATTAATTAATGTTTTATGTTGCTTTGGCGAAATCTCTATTTCCTTTTTTTATAATATCGTAATATTGCATATGTACACATTTTCAAACGCTCCCCTGTAATCTATCAACCACCCGATCTTTCAAGTATTTACGTTAACAGTATCCACAACCGTCAATTGTACTCGATTAAAATCAATTAAGTGTGAGAGCCGATCGCTAGTCTCTTTTCATTGGTGTCTCTCATGTTCGCCCTTTATCTCCTTAGAAGTCAAATCATGATAATGAAAGAAAATCTAATGCTAGTGTTCTTTTGAGTTATCAATCGCCGGACAATAGTAAAAATTTACGATTCGAGACGGAAAGTAATCAGTTGTACTTAACTAACCACACCATAAAATAATCATTTCAATAAAAACTATTTCAGAACATTAGCAGAAAATAATGTACCAACAAGGCAGCAATGATGTTTTGAGACTATTGTCAGACCCAGAACTTGAGGAACTATTGCAATTGTATGCACTTAAAAGTGGCATTGACAGTTTTCAATATTTGTTTATTTACACTCAGCTTCAATGGAATAAGAAATTACGTGAAAAACACATCGATGAACAGGATGAAAAGTGGATTTCATTCAGAAAGAAATTTTATACCCATGTTAATGGTGACTTTCGCAAATATGGTACATACGTGTGTCTACATCAAGACCTAGTAAGCATATTCGTCTTCCAAATCTCCTTCCTCTTTTAATAAATCCCAAAATGTTTGTGCCCATAATTCAGATACAAAGTGTCACTTTTCACACCTGGCAACCGAATTGCAATGAGTTATTGGAGTGTTTGGAAAACACCAATTTAATTCAATGGAAAAATGAAGCATTACTTATAAATGTGGCACCGGAGTGTTCAGAAATTGTGAAAAATCTTGTCCAAAGGAAAGGAGGTGCCATACGGAGAGCCAGATCTTGTCAAGGTTTGATTTTTAAGCGCACAAATTCTTTGAATTTTAATAAAACCAGGTATGTTGGAACAGCATTAGATACTAACACAGTAACATAGCTCATATTCGTATTTGACCCTAGCATTCCCGATGGCTATGAATTGGGAAAGGTGCAGGAAAAACACGCCGATTTAATACATTCCTTATGGGCTAATAACAAAGAAGGTTCCTTGGATTATATCAGAGGTCATATAAAGATTAATAAATCTGTTGGGCTGTATGAAGCATCGAGTAATGAATTAGTTGGCTGGATTTTTCAAAACGAATTCAGTGGTATAGCGTATGTATATTTTGAAAACTTTTAAATGATAAAAAAAATCAATATAAATTATATTATCATTAATTTTCCAACCATTGAAGAAGACTTTTTCTCATTTTTGTCACATCTTATATCCAACCGAAAAATTGGTCATTGGCTTAAAAATATACATATGTAATTTCTTTTTAGCATACTTCAAGTTCTGCCAACTCACCAAAGAAAAGGTTTTGGAAGGATCTTAGTTGAAGCATTAACTGCAATTATTGCTGAAACTGAAAGAATACCCGTAACGGCATGGGTTGTAGTTGGAAATGTAAAATCTGAAACATTGCTGCAAAAAGTTGGATTTGAGAGAGCCGTTGTTTATGAATGGATACAACTGGAAAATGTAGCTAATAAATTATGACATATTTGAGAGTATTTTGTGACGGAAATTTAGAATAAAACATCATGGGAAATGGTTTTTTTTTTCAGAAAAAGCGCAACACCTTTTATTTTTTGTTATTCCTTACACCATCGCGATTGCAACGAAGTCTTCTTGGCTATACATCGCCTATGTGATGTGAAAAGTCATCTTGGCACATTTTTGAAGTGACAATCGAATGGCATTGTATGTAATGCAAAACATTGTAATTCGAGACAGATTGGTGTTTTCCATTCCATATATACTGTAACAATTATTACTTTTATTATTACTCGCTGTTTCAATTTTGAATATAGTGACATGGTCGTGTTTTGGGTTTCAAACCATTTTTTCAAAGTGCTGTTTCGTCGTCTTGTATATTCTTCGTTAACAATATATATTCTACTAGACGTGCGCGGATGTGTGATCAATTTGTTTATCATGTAAAGCTCCTTCATTCCTCCTTTTCAATGTAAAAATCATTAGCACTGAGGCATATTTTGTTCCTACTCATTGAAAAATTGCTTAGTTAAGTTTACATTAACTTTCGTCTATATACAATGCGTAAGAAAGTCGGTTTTTATTTTCTTAAACTTCACACACTGATGCCACGTCTATTTACACAAAATACATATATAAATATATAAATACTGAGTTAAAACAAAAATAAACTGAATTTTTTATGAGTTAAGAAAAACATTACATCAATTGTAGTTAAAAATGGCTCGCTTATACCTGTATACTCATATTTACAAAAATTGCCTAAAAATCATTTTGTAACATCGTTATTGAAATTTTATTAAACTAAACAAATAAAAGTCGTGTTGTACTTCCATTGGGCATCCCGCTTCCATTCGCCAAAAGACTGTTTGTTGTGCTAGAATTGTAACCATTCGTTGTCTTGTAATTTGTTAAAACTGAACCCCGATAATAAGGATCCACTGAATTTGATAAGGGGGAATAATTGATACTGGTTTTTGTAGTGGTTGGTATTATAGGTTTCTCTTTCGTAATTTGCTTGGCCTGAAATTGAAGACATAAAATTAATATCTTCTCATATAGTAGGAGGAAATAATTGATAATAGTCTCACCCTATTATAACACAATACACCCACAATGGCCAGACCCATGCCAAAGCAATTCACCCATGTCACAGGATTTCCTAAAATCAGCAGTGATACGGCTATCACAAATATACGTTTCGATGCACTGGCCACTGCATATGTTAAAGGCGTCACCAGTGACAATACCGAGAATGCTATGATGTTTTGTAGCCAGTTCAAAACTCCATCGGCAAAGAGCAGTGCTATAACTCGGTAATCCAAATTTGTCTGAAATGAATTATATACATATTAATAAGCCCTCTGTCATGTACAGGAAATCTATACTTACAATTGCGGGATGTTGAATAACTTTAAAACTGTCCATATACAGCCAAATGGGTAGGAACATAACTAATGCCAATTTACCAAGCAAATGCAGCAAACGCAAATGATGTATTCCGGTATCTTTAAGAACCTAAAAAATACTTCTTTTATTTTGGAAGCTTTAGTAGCGAAAACTAAGGGCTAAATGTATGTTCTGTGTCACCAATGTAAACGTCCTTTGTTTTGAACCTGGGGTACAATTCGCGTTCACATGCGCAGTCCGGAAAATCCATTTCGTATTTAAGTGAAACAATTCTTACCTTTTTTGAAAATATATTTTGCAATGAGAATCCCATTGTGGATACCAATGCCGATATTAAGCCCAACATATCAAAAGAGATTTCAGTTAAAGTGGCAATTCCAACTCCTGTTATAATTGGTATAAGGCTAAGGTAAATCATGGTGGACTGTTTTTCTTTAAACAGTAACCGAGAAAGTATCACCGTGAATAGCGGCATTGTGGCTTTAACTAGGAATGCAAAAACAACAATTATTTACATATTTTGGAAAACATGTGTGAGACGAAGTTGAACACGTCAATAGGAAGACATTTATGCTGTCTTCTACCTACCTACCTGTATGAGCATATGAAACAGGAACTTTCCACAACGAAATGTGGGACGTCACCGAGGCCAGAAATTTACCAAAGGCAAGCGGTATAATCAACTTAAGATAGTAACCTCTAGGCAAGTCTTGATACTTTCGTATTTTCCACAAATTGAAGAATGGTCCACTATACAGCGTGATGCTGCAAAGCTGGACCATTGTCACTGTCATCGGAAATGGAAATTCGTTCAGCACCATTTTTCCAATCACATTGTTGCTGGATGAAATAATGTACCAAACAATGCAGAGGGTCAATACCACCAAGACATGTCTGGAACCCGTACGTTTCGCAACTCCACTCATAATTAGTTTCTTCTTGTATTATTCAAGAGCTATTCGTAATTAAATAATGTTTAACGTTGAGGCCTCAACTTGTCACTTAGATCATTTATGTGCACTAACTAAACTAGACTTATTCTAATATTGCCCAAGCATTTTTGTTGCATTTGTGAGACGAGTTCCTAACTAATTTGTGGATTTAAATCGAACGTAAATATTTACTCCTATTCTGTAGATTCAATTGGTCTAGTTTCAATCTTCCACAAGCAGTTGTTGACGTTTTGTTGACGTGACAATTGCATGGAGCTGCCACACAATTAGTGTATTTTCAAAATGAATATGGCAATGTCATGTCGAAAAAGAAATATCTTTAACCCTTAAGTGACACATTGCAGAAATCCTACAATCTGAAATAGCAATCCCCTGAATATAATTTTTCCATTTGGTAGTCCTGTAATGTTATAACATGTATACAGTTTATGTACTGTTTTGAATAACAAACGAAATAATCTAATTTTTTTTCAAATTACTTTACATATTAAAACTTTTTGGGATGAAAAAGCGTTGCAATTTTGAAAAAGAATTGATGTTGTGAAAAGTCCACAGCGTTCCATTCGGTTATCGCTAATTTTTTATATTAAAATATAGGAAGAAAAGTGTCATATATAATAAATAGTTTGAAGTTACAAGACTCCAGCTTAAGGGTTGTGTTTTTCAATACTAATCATTCTGCCTATGGTAGAAAATACAGGTAGATGCAAAATTTTAAAGTTTTTTTAAATATAAGTAGATTTTTATATGTTTTCTTATACGACGTCACTCGGAGGTTATTATAATTCCCGCTTTTCAACAATTTTTACAAATTTATATAATTTTTCATTCAACATTTTCCATTCCAAAATTGGTTTTACAGTTCATTGTCCCAGCAGCCGCGTCGATGCATCTACCTATATTCTACTACCATGATTCTGCCCCACCTTGTGTGGATAGCATGACTCACGGTTCAATGAAAAGTTATGGTAGAACTAAAATCTGATTACATTTTTTTTCTAAGGGAGCCCATTTTCTGCCAATTTTGTGTATGTATTTATTGCTTTGAATAAAAAAAACAAAATATTTTCAAAATCAATGATTGGAAGAAACGTACATTGCGTGTTAAAGATAGTAATCAGTTTTACCAAAGATTTGAAACAAACCGTTTGTATAATATTTTTGAAAGAAAATCCAGGAATATAATTAATTTTTCACGCTATTTAAATCATTTTAAAAATGAGGGAAAATATCATATTAATGGCAACTACTTGTTGCGTATAATTTGAAAGAATTCTGACAAGAAGCGGACAGCCTCAGGGCGGTATCTCTGTTGTTGTTGATGTAGCAGTAGTACATGTATGTGTTTGCGTTCTGCTAATCTGGTTCCAGCTCCAGGTTTAGAAATTCGGCTACTTTAACGGGCTGTAGCCAGAGATCTTCTGGAGAGAATTGGGTAGGTTTGGCTGAGCAATTAAAAAGGTGTAGCGTATTGTGCGGGCCTGTATCGCACGCCGGGCAGGCGTCACGCACATCTTCATCAATTCGTGCCCAATACGAATTGAGACGAATATTTGAAATTTGGCGAAGATCGGTTCAGATATAGCTATAGCTCCCATATATATTGTTCATCCGATTTGTTATATTTGTTACCCACAGCCGTAATATGCACTCCGTAACAACGATATTCAGGGAAATATATGAAATACTGCTCAGAAATATCTTTGGCAAATTGTATCAAGATCGGTTCAGATTTGGATATAGCTCCCATATATATCAAATGGGCAATACAAGTCCGAATTTGAAAGATACAAATGCTTCGGCATATTTAGTCTTTTGAACTTAAAATTATAATTATAATCATAGCGTGCATGATTGAATTCTCCCATAAAAACTTTTAATTGTTATGTGGTGCTCAACTAAATTAGCAAAGTGGTGTAGGGTATCATAAAGTCGGCCCCGCCCGACTTTAGGACTTTCTTTACTATTTTTTTTTTTCATAATTGGCTTGCAAAGTCAAAAATTGTTACCACTTGCTGTCGACTAGACAGAATTAAACAATGTATATACTAGAATATACAGTATATACTAGAAAAAATACAACTCTTAAATTAAGAATACATAAAATGTTTTTTGACAGGCGTGAGTCATCGGCTGGATTTTTCGTAAATGAATAAAGAAGTTTTAGCATGGAAGAATGCAAGTAGCTGCATCAACGCTAATATATTTTCCTACACGACACCGATCAGTGTTTGTTATGATATACATTTTTAAGAATTTTTACGAAGCTGAACAATTTTCATTCAAAAATGTCAATTTCAAAATTGGTTTGACCGTTCATTGTCTTCTACCATGAGTTGTAGTTTTTCTTAAGGTGCAAGTACATAAAAAGCTTGAAGTCATGGCTAGGCATATTAATGTCAAATTATAATGGAAAACGACAGTAGGATTTCAGTGCGTCTCTGTAATCCCTTTATAAAATGTCAAAAAAATATGCCTAGCCATGACTTCAAGCTACTTATGTACTTACACCTTTATAGTCTGTTCAGCAATAGTATTTTTCTAATATTTGCAAGTCAACTGGTAGAAAAAAGAGCGATTTCCCATAATTATGACCTGTAGAGAGACTGCCGAATCTGGAAAAATGTCTTTTTGGTCCATTTCAATCCCCAAAAGCTTCTAGGTAGATCCATATGTAAAATCGTGAGTCTTGAACTCATATTTCGAGATATTCCTGGTTGGGTATAAAACATTTTGCATTAATGCACTGACCAATGTTCTGGAAGTTCCAAATAGTTTGTGGCATCACCATTTGCGGATTAGGTTGATATTTCCGTCACTTTTATTATACCCTCCACCATTCTATTCTATATTAGCTTTGTCATTTCGTTTGTAACTCCTCGAAATATTTATGTCGCACCCAACAAAGTATAGGATTTTAGCGACATTTTTCACCTGAATAGTTTGAAATTTTGTATTCAAAGTTCTAACTGGGTACTGCAACTTTTTTTTTTATTGTTTAATTTATTGAATATTTCATATATTTAATGAAAATAACAATAAGGTTTCATATCTTATATACTAATATTTTTATAGGGAGGTTGTCAATACAATCACCCCATATTTTTTTTCATGCTTTAATTATTATTGTTTTTTTTATGATATAGATGTGTGTTATTTTGTGGGCTTGTGGATACAGTTATATCCGTGAATTGATTGAGTAGGTAGTTAAGATTAGTTTAGATACAGATATATCTAAGTGAATCGCGGACTACAGAAATAGTCTTACGGATATAATGTTGCTTTGTTTAGATACAGTTATATCTAATCATCCCGCGGACTACAGTAATAGTCTTATCGATTTCTTCACTAATCTTCCCGCGGACTGCAGTAATAGTCTTTTCGATTTCTTCACAGAAGCAGCTTCCAATTTAGCATACTACTACCTGTAGAAGTATAAAAGTGGGCGTCGTTCTTTATTTCTTCTTCAACAGTAAGTATATTTAGGTCCTTGTGGATGTTTGCGTTCCTTATGTACCATGGTGCACCTGTATTAGATCGAAGAATATTCGACTGTCTTCTTTGTAGTTTACTTACGTTAGAGGCACTGGGGCACAGCTAGTGCCTCTAACGTAAGTAAACTACAAAGAAGACAGTCGAATATTCTTCGATCTATGTTCGATCTAGCTGTATGCCATACGTCCAAATTGGCTTTATTATAGTCTTATATAATAGGACTTTATATTCCAATTTAATAGAAGAACGTATACCAATTAACCACTCAAGATTGGCCTTTTTTAGTTTAATTTGTGTGATTTTTGCATCGATGTGTTGCTTCCATGTAAGTCTTCGGTCCAGGTGCATTCCGAGATATTTTACGGTATCTTTCTGTAGAACTTGGGTATTAAAGATTTTTATCGTGGGGCAAAGTTCACGTCTTAGAGCAAAAGTAACATGTATGCACTTGCTAGCATTTACCGATATTCTCCATTTTGTCAGCCAATTTTCGAGAAGATATACATGGTATTGTAGTTTTTCCGACGCAATCAGAGGATCCTTGTGTATGCTAATGAAAGCAGTATCATCAGCAAACGTTGAGGTTAGAGTTTCATTGGTTGTGGGCATATCGGCAGTAAATAACACGTACAGAATTGGTCCTAAGATACTACCCTGTGGGACGCCAGCCAATATTTTTCTCGAATTTGAAAGTATGTCTTTCGATTTAACAACAAACGTACGATTTGACAAATTACTACAAAAAAGTTTATGAGTGTTTTTAGGTAGAGTTTCACAAATTTTGTATAGAATTCCAAGATGCCAGACTCTGTCAAACGCTTGAGAAATGTCTATAAATAGCGCCGAGCAGTACTCCTTCCTTTCGAATGCCATTCTAATGTTTGTGACTATGCGGTGCACTTGCTCAATAGTACTGTGGTTCTTACGGAAGCCGAATTGGTGGTCGGGGATAATACTGCTATTTGTAATATGGGGAGTTAACTTCTTTAGTAAAGTTGTTTCGAACAGCTTTGAGAGTATAGATAGAAGACTGATGGGTCTATACGATTTTACCTGCGTTGGATCTTTTCCAGGTTTCGGAATCATTACTATTTCAGATTCTTTCCATACAGACGGGAAGTCCCCTACTCGAAGAATGCTGTTAAATATAAATAACAATAATTTAATCTGAGTGCTTGTTGTAAGAGTTTTTCACATTCTTTTAGTTTTTCCCGAAACCTAGGTGATCGGTGCTTCTGCCATTCTCTTCTGGCCTTCTTTTTATCAGACACGAGTTTTCGAATGGTCGATGGATTATAGGAATTATTTTCTAGTTTTGAAAATTTAGTGGGAGTGGCAACATTGACAGCGGCGTTGACTATCGAAGTAAATATTTTAACTGCATTGTCAATTTCTTCTCCGGACTTTAGAGGAGTGTTAGAATTCACATGTGTACTGACATATTTTTTGTACTTCATCCAGTTTGTATATTTATTTGGTAGATAATCCGGGGAAGTTGCGAGTTGAACATCATTTAATGTTATTATATTTGGGGAATGGTCTGACGACAAGTCAAACGAGGGTACCACGGACATTTGTTCCCTCTTAATATTCTTTGTTACCGCAAAGTCAATTAAGTCAGGACGTTTTTGCAGGTCTGAAGGCCAGTAAGTAGGCTGGCGAGTAGATAACACGTCCAGTTTAGCGGACGAAATGGAGTTTAAAAGCTGTCTACCTCTGGGTGTAATAAGTCTAGATCCCCAGAAGG